GCAATTATTTCGACATATTCAATACTTTTTCTACGTGAGGCCATTCAAGGTTGCTCCGTAAGCTGAAAGAAGCTCGGATCGTAATGTGCATGCGCAGTAGAGGTAAAAGTTTTTTGATACAAAATGTTGCAGTTTCATAGTCTTTCGTTGCCGTGTTTACTGTTTCAGTAGCGAGGTAATATGTTTATGTTGCTATTTCCACGATTAATGTTGGCTTTACTGCGTTTTTCTACACAGTGGGATAGCTTTCTTTGGTAGGCCTGAGTGACAGCCCTACACAAGAGCACATGATGCGTCTCCTTCAGTGAGTGACTTTACAAAATAGACCCCACTCTAGATACAAAAGGGAAAGGGCACCTGTCTGTTAATTGTCTAATCCATTACAGGCACCATGGGTTGAAATGAATCAACAAGCACACTGACCCACTGACCATGACAATACCAATGTAGTGATCTTTTACTGTGGAATGTATGTTGATGAATTATAAATTGAATTTATTATCATTGTTACACTAACCATTAATATTTTCAGTGGCCTAATAGATAAACCTGTGTTTTTAATGAAAGAGTTAATGACACTTTGACAATCACGATTAATTTTGAAGAATGTTTTGTATGAAAAACCACTAAACTGTAAAAGGAAGCCAAGACGTGCCAAGTCTGGCAGACACTTTTTTTTCAGAAAAATACTCAAAATTTACTTCTTTTAAATCATTACGTCCCCTTCTGAAGTCAGGTGGGGTAACTATTGCTTCAAAAATGCCAAGTAATCTCAAATCTTTCATGCTCATACTGCTGACTGACTGACTGAGTTTGGTTTTACGCCTCTTTTAGCAATATTCCAGCAACATCACGGCGGAAGACACCAGAAATGGGCTTCACAAATTGTACCCATGTGGGGATCCGATCCCGGGTCTTCGGCGTGACGATCCAACGCTTTAACCACTGGGCTACCCCACCGCCCCTTCATGCTCATACTGAAAATCAGGGCCTCAGGAATCGACGCTCTCATTGACTGAACATTGTAACATCGGAAGCAACAAAAATAAAAGTTAGTTTCAATACATTGTGATCATTAAACTGAAATTTCATTATAAAACACGTTATCAAAACTTAACATGCACCATTACAGCTTCACAACACTGTGTTCAGCTATATTCACTCACACAAAACAAGCCTGTAAATCACATGTATCTAGCCTGGACCAGACAATCCAGTGACTGATATTGGGAGCAGCATCCCACACATTGGGTCATGATGACCAGAGACCATAGAACCTGTCCACCAAACCACTGATAGTCTGGGTTCAACTCCATGCAGGAATCACCACAGAACAGAAAGTGTTCTAGCCTGCTCAGGACAAGATAGTCAGCTAGAACAGTGGTGTGTCCCATATTCCAAACATAAGTACAAAATATAATAAACAGTTAAAAAATATAATCAAAGCAAAGTGTTTGCATAGCAAAACATTTCAAGGACAATAAACAAAGCAAACTGTCTTAATTATAATGGTTATCAAAAACAAACCAAGGCTAAATAACTTACTTAAAATGAAAGAAAAGAAATAATAAAGATTTCTGCAAAATATCTAAAATTGGCAAGGATTCGTTTACCAAATCAAAGTAAATTGCTCAGATAAAAAGCTAAAGAAAAAAGTGTTTGAACCAATCTGCAAAAATGCTAAAGACAAAGTAGTCTTCATACATACACTGCTGCTTCAGCTACTGATCCAGAGTTATAAACACTGCATCACATGGTGGCAATCAGAGATTTATCAATAAATATCTACCGATATGTGATGCCAAAAGTACCTGACAAGTACAGTTATTTAAGATAAATGGTTCATCGAAGACAATGTGCTCAGGAAGATGTTTGTTTCATATCTAATTTCTTTAATGTCATCTCAGTAATCATCAACAGCTTCAGGACAGAGGTCAGTCCCGTAATTGTGGGGGTCAACTCTGACCTGTCCCACATACACTATACTCAATGTATTCAAGAGAGTTTCAAGAGAAAACACACGTCACAACACTGTCATGGAGCAGTGTAAGGGAGATAACTCTACCCACCTTACAAACACTGTACATGTCTAAAGCTCTCTCTACTGATTGTCTTACATTTAAACACAGCAGTGACTAAATTGTGAAATAATATCTTTTGAAAAAATGTTTAAGATTCCCAATGAGAACACTTTTGCAAATAAGTAGCATTCTAACTTATATATATCCTCACTTGTACTTTAATCCTGAGGCAGAATTAAGAAAATACTCCGTTTAGCAAGCATAGCAGAGACATATACAGACTATGACTTGAACTACTGAACTGAGGCCTGAGTATGGTATTGTCTGTTACCATCCAAAACTGACCTCCACAGGAGGTAGCACTTGGATGAGATCAAGTGACCTCTCCCTGGAAATATTACAACCTATTGCTTCACAGACCACCATGACATCACAGTGACATCATCAGTGTCTCAGCCAATGAAGCGAGTTATCTAGACTGTCTACACATCTACAGGCACCGAGACTGGAACATGTTTGTCCATGTCAATTCATGTGCTGTTTACACAGGCAGCTAGAGCCGTTAAGTTAGCTAGAGCCATTAAGTTAGCTAATCCGTTTGTCTACTCTACATTCATACCTACAATGAATCATGCAAGAAAGCCAAGACATTTCACCCAGTTCAACTCTAGTCATGCACTAGACTGTAGCAGATTCTACCTCAAGCTGTTCTATTAAAGGAATTTTGTCAATGGTTTGTCTGTGACGCTCACCTGGAGGAAGGCTCTACAACACCTTCAGGGCTGAAATATCATCATTGGAGTTTTACTGTGCCATAAAGTAGTTCTTCTCTTACATTACAAGCAGCTTGCGACCAGATATCCTGCTTCACGCATATTGCTTTACCTTATGATGACTGTTTCTTGTTTAACGCCAAACTATATTCCAGCTATATGGCGACTGTGTGAATAATCGAGACTAGACCAAACAATCCAGTGATCAACAGCATGAGCATCAGTCTATGCAATTGGGAACCGATGACATGTGTCAAGCAGGTTACAACCATAGCAAAACTAGATAGATTGCTGGAGTCCTTTTTAGTGAGGTGTCTTCATAAGATAAGTTTAGTGGCCTCTCAGGAAGAGAATAGATTGCTGGAGTCCTATTTAGTGAGCGTCTTCACAAGATAAGTTTAGTGGCCTCTCAGGAAGAGTATAGATTGCTTGAGCCCTATTCAGTGAGCGTCTTCATTAGATATGTTTAGTGGCCTCTCAGGAAGAGAATAGATTGCTGGAGCCCTATTCAGTGAGCGTCTTCATTAGATATGTTTAGTGGCCTCTCAGGAAGAGAATAGATTGCTGGAGCCCTATTCAGTGAGAGTCTTCATTACATATGTTTAGTGGCCTCTTAGGTAGAGAATAGATTGCTGGAGCCCTATTCAGTGACCGACAAGATAAGGGTCACAGGAATTTGTTTTCTTCACTTTGAGAAAGAAGCAAGAATGTTAAAAACAAACAGTATCATTAGTATGAGGGATCTATCTAGGATTTTAAACTTAATTACCATGGCAACCAAACTGGGAAAGCACATCATTCTTTTCAAAATAGGGATTTCTGTTAAAGTTGGTAGGATTTCAAATTAACTTGAAGGGAAAACTAACCACTATAGCCTTTTCAACTCCTCTACTGGTTCTATTTTTGGCAAAATAAAACACCCCTCTACAATGCCATAACACTGGTAGTCATGTTACTATGACTAGATGTCACTTGTAGCGACGTTGGCTGCAGTTTTGGGGCCAAATACAGGAGGGTGGTGTTGCACAAAATGACCTCAGCACTAAGACTTTCGTAAGTCTGTGTTAAGGTATGGGAGTTACGATGTCAGCGCCAAGACTTTCGTAAGTCTATGTCAAGGTCTGGGTGTTACAATCACCTTAATGCTAAGAATATCGCATGTCTATGTCAAGGTGTGGGAGTAACAATCACCTTAGTGCTAATATCGCTTTGTACAACCGCACACTGGTCTAGATAAATCCCTGCGAGATTTGATAAGTTAGTGTTCAGCTAATGTAAAGGGCCGGACAGGATACTACGTCAGAATCTGAGGAACTTAGTTGTCACTAGAGGTGACAGTTCTGGAATCTAATTTGTCAACAGAAGCATGCACAACTTACTTTCAAACATCAACTGTCCAATAAATGATTTGAAAACACCTAAATAAAACCATCAAATCATCACAACAGGTTCTGTTTCAAGTGATCTTAAAGCTACTGTTACCAGTATGTCATAAATGTATATCTCTGCTATATAGTTAGAGGTTAACCTGTTATGGTTTCAGTCATCGTGTCCTCACGTTCGGGGGCATACAGATATAAGGAGTCGAATGATTGGACAGCTGGAATTGGTAAAGATTGTCTCAATATCAGGAGCAAATTACAAAACAAACCCTAAAACACAATCACACATTCATTCAAATAGCAAACACAATAAACAAATAAGAATGAGCATGACACACTAATAATTAACTATGACAAAAGGACCACAAGTACCATCACTGTATATGTCCTACTGATGTACACTATGTCTCACACAAATCAGTAGTTCTCTGACTGAGCTGATACAGGAACATCGGAACATCAAACCTACCCTTCTTGGTGCCGCCTTTGTCATCTTTTTCTTTCCTTGTCCCTCCCTTCTTGTCCTCCTCTTTTGCTTTGGGGTCCTACAGACATGGGAACGAAGTGTTATAATACTGGTAGTATCTCTAACATGGCAAGTGTTGTAATACTGGTACTCTTATCTCTAACATGGCAACAAAGTGTTATAATACTGGTACTCTTATCTCTAACATGGCAACGAAGTGTTAAAATACTGGTACTCTAATCTCTAACATGGCAAGTGTTTTTAATACTGGTACTCTTATCTCTAACATGGCAAGTGTTATAATACTGGTACTCTTATCTCTAACATGGCAACGAAGTGTTAAAATACTGGTACTCTAATCTCTAACATGGCAAGTGTTATAATACTGGTACTCTTATCTCTAACATGGCCAGTGTTATAACACTGGTACTCCTATCTCTAACATGGCCAGTGCTATAACACTGGTACTCTTATCTCTAACATGGCAAGTGTTATAGTACTTGTACTCTTATCTCTAACATGGCAAGTGTTATAATACTGGTACTCTTATATCTAACATGGCCAGTGTTATAATACTGGTACTCTTATCTCTAACATGGCAAGTGTTATAATACTGATACTCTTATCTCTAACATGGCAAGTGTTATAATACTGGTACTCCTATCTCTAACATGGCAAGTGTTATAATACTGGTACTCTTATCTCTAACATGGCAACGAAGTGTTATAATACTGGTACTCTTATCTCTAACATGGTAAGTGTTATAATACTGGTACTCTTATCTCTAACATGGCAAGTGTTATAATACTGGTACTCTTATCTCTAACATGGCCAGTGTTATAATACTGGTACTCTTATCTCTAACATGGCAACGAAGTGTTATAATACTGGTACTCTAATCTCTAACATGGCAAGTGTTTTTAATACTGGTACTCTTATCTCTAACATGGCAAGTGTTATAATACTGGTACTCTTATCTCTAACATGGTAACGAAGGGTTACAATACTGGTACTCTTATCTCTAACATGGCAAGTGTTATAACACTGGTACTCTTATCTCTAACATGGCAAGTGTTATAACACTGGTACTCTTATCTCTAACATGGCAAGTGTTATAGTACTTGTACTCTTATCTCTAACATGGCAAGTGTTATAATACTGGTACTCTTATATCTCTAACATGGCAAGTGTTATAATACTGGTACTCTTATCTCTAACATGGTAAGTGTTATAATACTGGTACTCTCATCTCTAACATGGCAAGTGTTATAATACTGGTACTCTTATCTCTAACATGGCAAGTGTTACAATACTTGTACTCTTATCTCTAACATGGCAGGTGTTATAGTACTTGTACTCTTATCTCTAACATGGCAAGTGTTATAGTGCTGGTACTCTCATATCTAACATGGCAAGTGTTATAATACTGGTACTCTTATCTCTAACATGGCAAGTGTTATAATACTGGTACTCTTATCTCTAACATGGAAAGTGTTATAATACTGGTACTCTTATCTCTAACATGGCAAGTGTTGTAACACTGGTACTCTTATCTCTAACATGGCAAGTGTTATAATACTGGTACTCTTATCTCTAACATGGCAAGTGTTATAGTACTTGTACTCTTATCTCTAACATGGCAAGTGTTATAATACTGGTACTCTTATCTCTAACATGGCAAGTGTTATAACACTGGTACTCTTATCTCTAACATGGCAAGTGTAGTAATACTGGTACTCTTATCTCTAACATGGCAAGTGTTATAATACTGGTACTCTTATCTCTAACATGGCAAGTGTTATAATACTGGTACTCTTATCTCTAACATGGCAAGTGTTATAGTACTTGTACTCTTATCTCTAACACGGCAGATGTTATAGTACTTGTACTCTTTTCTCTAACATGGCAAGTGTTATAGTACTAATAATGTTATCTCTAACATGGCAAGTGTTATAGTACTGGCACATTTATCTCTAACATGGCCAGTGCTATAACACTGGTATTCTTATCTCTAACATGGCAAGTGTTATAATACTGGTACTCTCATCTCTAACATGGCAAGTGTTATAATACTGGTACTCTTATCTCTAACATGGCAAGTGTTATAGTACTTGTACTCTTATCTCTAACACGGCAGATGTTATAGTACTTGTACTCTTTTCTCTAACATGGCAAGTGTTATAGTACTAATAATGTTATCTCTAACATGGCAAGTGTTATAGTACTGGCACATTTATCTCTAACATGGCCAGTGCTATAACACTGGTATTCTTATCTCTAACATGGCAAGTGTTATAATACTGGTACTCTCATCTCTAACATGGCAAGTGTTATAATACTGGTACTCTTATCTCTAACAAGGCAAGTGTTATAATACTGGTACTCTTATCTCTAACATGGCCAGTGTTATAATACTGGTACTCTTATCTCTAACATGGCAAGTGTTATAGTACTAGTACTCTTATCTCTAACATGGCAAGTGTTATAGTACTTGTACTCTTATCTCTAACATGGCAAGTGTTATAATACTGATAATCTTATCTCTAACATGGCAAGTGTTATAGTACTGGCACATTTATCTCTAACATGGCAAGTGTTACAACACTGGAACTCTTATCTCTTATCTCGGTTGTATTACCAGTATTGTATTACCAATATTGTACCACCAGTATTGTATTACCAATATTGTATCACGGGTTCCCGCATTACCAATTTTGTATCACCGGTACTGTATTACCAATACTGTATCACCAGTATTGTATTACCAATATTGTATCACCAGTATTGTATTACCAATATTGTATCACCAGTATTGTATTACCAATATTGTATCACCAGTACGGTATTGCCAATATTATATTACCAGTACTGTATTACCAATATTGTATCACCAGTACTGTATTACCAATATAGTATCACCAGTACTGTATTGCCAATATTATATTACCAGTATTGTACTACCAATATTGTATCACCAGTATTGTATTACCAATATAGTATCACCAGTATTGTATTGCCAATATTATATTACCAGTATTGTAGTACCAATATTGTATCACCGGTACTGTATTACCAATATTATATCACCAGTATTGTTTTACCAATATAGTATCACCAGTATTGTATTGCCAATATTATATTACCAGTATTGTATTACCAATATTGTATCACCAGTATTGTATTACCAATATTGTATCACCGGTACTGTATTACCAATATTATATTACCAGTATTGTATTACCAATATTGTATCACCAGTATTGTATTACCAATATTGTATCACCAGTATTGTATTACAAATGTTGTATTACCAGTATTGTATTACCAATATTGTATCACCAGTACTGTATTACCAATATTGTATCACCGGTACTGTATTGCCAATATTATATTACCAGTATTGTATTACCAATATTGTATCACCAGTATTGCATTACCAATGTTGTATTACCAGCTTGTACACCAGTACTGCTTGTATACCGTTGTCAGTACTAACACAATACTGGAACAATACATTTGACATGTATCAGTTGCCTGCAACAGTATAAAGCCACAGAGAGTACCTTATTCTTTTTGGCAGATGGCTTGTCTCGCTTAGACTTGTCCCTGTCCGTGTGAGAGCTGCTACGTACACTGCCAGGACGGTCCTTAGAATCCGCTCTGCGACTCGGTGGTGGCTAGGGGTGAACAGTGCAAAGTGAACAGTGAACAAAAACATGCAGATATACCATCATATATCACCTACAAGGTCTAAAAGGTTCAACGGGTCATGAAGGCACTTTCGGTGACCCATACTCAAAGGAAAGGTTCATGAAGCAGAAATATTTCCTGCTCACGAAGGTAGCCTGTGCAAGAACAATGGCGTCGTTATCAGGAAGGAATGTAGAGACAGTCTTACCAGTCTTAAATTTCATGGGTTGGGTAGCCTAGTGGTTGAAGCGTTAACTCTTCACGCCAAAGACTTGGGTTCGATTCCCCAAATGGGTACAATTCGTGAAGGTCATTTCTGGTGTCCCCCACCGTGATGTTGCTGGATTATTGCTAAAAGCGGCATAAAACTAAACTCACTCACTCACTCTAATTTTCAAAATGGACCAGTGAAATTCCATCATCTATGCACTCAACAGCCTGGTCTTACAGATGGATCTAAAAACTACGGCAGATCAAATTCCATCATCTATGCATCCAACAGCCTGGTCGTACGGTCTTACAGACGGATCTAAAGACTACGACAGATCAAAGGGAGGTAATTTATCCTTCAAACAGTAGTTTCTCCATTTTGATTTCACAAATTTGGTAAAGGTAGGACGTGTAAAGGAAAGTTGGAGGATGGGTAATCATGTAGTTCTGAGAGTTTCTTGTGCTTTAATCCTGACCGAACTGAAACGCTAGTATCTCCTGAGTGACTTTCCTGAGTGAAACATGTATCTGTTCTCCCTGCAGTGAACGGGTAACCAGGGGCAGTGATTGTAAGGCTCCTTACTCTCTATAAGGTTGGTATTTGCATACTCCCCAGGGTGTTGAGAATGGGAATTTAGTGCACACTGATCCACTAGGCAAGGTACCCAATGGAGTGCTGTGACCATGCATCAGTGGGTGTTTTTTGTGCATCACAAATAAGTATTAATTATTAATAGTACTTACAGATTTATTTCTCTCTGGAGAACCTTTCTCTGAGATGAGACGACGACGTGCCACCACCTCTTCGTGTGTCAGGGGAAACCGAGACAGTGCCTACAGACGAGATATAGGCTATACATGTAATCTCACTCATAAGGTGACCCCTTGTAAAATCACTGAACTCAATGCTAATCTCTATACCCTGCTTGCAAACTAATTAGAAGATAATGCTACTCTGTTTTCAATGTGGCGGTCCTTTATCGCTGATTTAAGATGGCTAAATGTAACTTAAAACTGAACGCTTTTCCTGCTTGGAAGTTTCTTCAATGGGATTAAGCTAAAAAAAAACTTCTTCTTCAAACCATTTGCTTTTTAGGGACCGCTCATAATTTATCGTTGGGGGTGATGATGACATTTATGGAGGAGCATGTACAATGTGAATTACCCTCCTATAATATATGTACAAAATAAGTGACATTCCCCCCTGCATGTCATGTACAAAATTGTTGACCCCTAGTACATGTGTGCAAAATTGATGACACCCACCTTGCTCCCCTGAACAGAATGAGTGATCCCCTTAAAATCATCATCACACCCCCTAGCCATAAATTATGAACAGTCCCTTACTTCAAAACATCTGAGATGTTGTTGAGGTAGAAATCACCAATGTCCGATGTGTTTGTTTACAACAGGTTCACTTTATTAATATGCGGTGAATCGGTCACTTTAATTTGCAGTCCTTTAACTGCCATTTACATACAGTTTTGATGAGCTCTCAGCCAATCAGAATCAAGTATCACACAACGTCGTACTAGAAGTCGGAATGAAGTACATCACATGCACAACCCCGATATTCCACATGCAACCACATGTTTTAAGTGACCCCATAATTTCATCAAAAAACAGCAGTGACAATCGGATGCTGGTTGACATCACCATTAGAATCTGAAAGTTATACAGATAGAGCAATACTCAGACATCTTTAACCCCGTGCATAAAGCAGCTCCCTTTCCAGTGTGCAAAATAGTTTCCAAATTTTGCTAGCCATTCAGTTACTAGCCCACAAAATAATTTACTAGTCCGAAATTTGAATGTAGACATGGGTTTTATCATTAAGATGCTGATATGTTGGAGAGAGTGATATATTTACAAAATGACCCAATGAAAATTCACTAGCTAGTCAGGCCAGAGACTGTGGACATTTACTGGCCCAACTTGATTTTTACTAGCCACAGGCTAGCGGGCCAGTGGCTATTTTGCACACTGCCCCTTTCAAACCCCCAAAACAGGGTAACTGTACCCATATATCCAATATGTACATTTTCAGTATTATAATCATAACAAAAGAATGTGTCTTACATTATGTGCCCCATGAATGAAATGAAGCAATGCATACTGACCTCTGCTATTTTCTTCACCCCCTTATCTCCGATCTGGTTGTTGGCCAGGGAGAGAGACAGCAGTGTTCTGTTCATCCTAAGTCCCTGGAACACAGAACACAAAACACTATAATCATGATAATACCAGGTTTGTTGTTTGTTATGTTTGTTATTTGTTGTCTGATGGCTGTTTGTAAATAATCAAGTTAAGACCAGACAATCCAGTGATTAACATCATGACCATTTATTTATGCAATTAAGAAATGATAATGTTTCAACCAAGAATGACTGTCCAATCCTGTTAGCCGCCTCTTAAAACAAAAATGGGTTGCTGCACATCCATTATGTAAAAATCCATTAATATAACCAGCTAGTTTTGTTACCTTCACTTGTTCAACATGTAGTACATGATGTGTGTTATCTCCCTTTAATCATTGAAGATTCTCACAGACACGCACGTAAGAAACATCACCCATCCCCAGCAATCAACACTGTTTACCAGCCTGATTGTGCCCATTCTCCTACCCGGAGTTCCATGTGGCCAGCACAGTACCTCTGCCACAGGCCAGAAAGGTGTGACGATCACATCTTGCACCGCCCATTCAATATCATGTACATTTTTCTTAACTCTTCTATTTTTGACGAGTCTACATATCTAACAAATCATCCTTGATAGAATGGTTTAGTTTCACTGACAAAATATCCTAAAACGTCAGAGGTACAGATAAGCTGCGTATCTTCGTAAATTACGCAAATATTTATGTGAAAACTCAATTCTTATTACATCTATTGCGTACAAGTACACTTCATTTTTTGTAAATACATGCTTACAAACAAAAATAGATAAATAACTGAGGTGTATTGAGTGTTTTTATTTCAGCTCCTGGACTTGGCAACTTGTGGTCTTTCTTATCGGTCACGATATGGCTGAAATATTGCCGATGTGACGTTACATAAAACTCACTCACTCACTCTTTCTTATCATTTCACAAGCTTAAGCGAGTACATAACTCATTGACCCAAAAAGTTATCTGTAGCTCTGAAACGCGTAACACTATTTCGATTTATGCGTAGCCGATCCTTTGTTTACATGCGCTGTAATGGCTCCACATGCTATCGCCAAAGTTTCTACAGACAGCAAACGATGCAGCCATTGATATATAAATATGTAATTTTTTAAAGTAAAATTGATATTTTATTCTAATCCTGACTCATGATCTTTGCTTATCTCCCTTTTCCTTGCGAATGGTAGTGGAACACTTGAATCCTTTGTAGTTCCCTGACGTGGGCGTAAAAATACACTCACCCACGAGTTACCTCCCTTTTCCCGCGCAAACAGTCATGTGACCAGCCAGTCTTCGGTGGCTATGTCTCGGAGGTAGTGGTTGCCAAACACCGTATCTGACTTCCAGAAGCAGCCCTCCATAATTGATGATATAGAGCAATTTCCATGTAGAGCGAGTGTTGAGCCAGTGCTCTGACTTCGTGTGGGTTGGAAGCTCTTGGAGGTTCTAATCATGCTGCTTTGTAGGCTCTTAGTATAACGGCTCTCAAGGATAGGTCCTGGGTGTCCTCTGGTCCGAGGATCCTAGATAGCGCTGGCACATGGAACTGTTTATCTGGTTGACCAGGTAGTTGATTCTTTGCAATAAAGTCCCATCCAAGTCCTAGGTGTACTGCAGCACGGTGCCCCGTGTCGAATCTAGAATCACCAGCTGCCGTGGCTAGGGCAAGTAGGAACAGAGTTTTATGTGTGAGTAGCTCGAAGTTAGTCTGTTCTAGAGGCTCATAGGCAACGCTCATGAGATGACGTAGAATTACATTCAGATCCCAGGCTGGTGCTCTGAATTTCTTTTGTTGGTCCTCCGGTTTAAAAGATCGCAGCAGAGCCAGTAATTCTGGTACTTTCGTCAATTTGATGCCTGACTTCTTAGTGACGACTGTGCTGATGGCTGATGCTGATGTGGATAATGTCGAACCTTTCAGATGTCTTGTATATCTAACGTGACATAGATATTCCGCCACTTGAGAATGAGAAGCTTTCGTAGCTGAGAAGCCCTTCCGCCTTGCATATTGTTCAAATTTCTGCCATTTGTCGTCGTACAAATTGCGAGTAGATCTGCTAAACGCTAAGGTCACTGCTTTCGGTGCTCTGGCGGAGTATCCTCTTTTCTTCAGACAGGTTTTGATATGGTCCACACGTGTAGCTGGAACATGGGGATGTGTAGATATGCATCCTGGAGGTCTATGCTGGCCATAAAGTCTGCTGGACGAACTAGTAGTCTGAGTTGAGGTAGGTGGATCATTCTGAACCTGTCTGGTTGGAGTAGATAATCTTGGTTGAATTTCCGCATGTTGTAAATCAACCTGAATTTCTCTTTGGAATTCTTCTGGGTGCTAGGAAAATTGGGGTGTAGAAGCCTGGCGTGAGATGATGTTGATCTATTCTCTCTACCACATTCTTGGTTAGAAAAGTGAGTTGATGGCTTCTTGTAGCTTGTCTGCTTGCTCGTCTGCATAGTTGAAGACCATCCGTCTGAGGATTAACGGTGGTGTGGCCTTGAGCTGCACTCTGTACCCTTCTCGCAGTACTTGTGAGACGTAGTCGTCCTCCAGCATTCCCCAATTTTCCCAGTACCTTTGTAGACATCCACCCACTGTCGATGGTTGTACAGGAACGGCTGGGGTTGGAAGTATCCAGTCGTTCAGAGCCCCAATTTCAACGTCTAGCTCCTCTGAAACCTCTGGGAGTACGTCATCTCCCTGAGTTTCCTCTCTAGTTTCCGGATGGGCAACAAAAAAAAGCCTTTCCCGCCTCTGAAACTGGAGTATTTCTTCTCCTTAGCCTTCTGGATACCTGAATATTTTGACTTGATGTTGTACTTCTGTGAAGTATGACGAATGACGTTGGCTAGAGTATCTATAGACTTGATCATCATGACTTCCCTTCCCTTCCTTAGCTGCTTCATCTATTTCACCTCCGAAGATGGTAGGGACCGCCCAAGGAGCTCTAAGTAGGGGTTGGGTAAATTTGTCACTCCAGGAACAAGGTGAGACCTGCCGACGTTGAGGCCAAATGATTCGATATGGATATTGGTCCTTCTTCTGAGTGAGCAGAGCAGATAATATCATCCTATCTTCTTTCGAACTGGGGTTCTGGAACTTGTTAATTAATGCCTCATTGATTGCTCTGTATCTCGTTAATCCGAAGAAGGATCTCCTCGTCGCAGTATCAAATTGAGCCAACTTTTTATCCTCCACCTTGTAAAACTTGTTCCGAAATTTGTTGACCAGTTTTATGTTCTCATCTAAGTCCAGCGCTCTCATAAAGGGGTGGCAGATATTGATTCTGGAATCTAGTAGCTTTGTCAAAAGCTATGCGTAGGTTTGAAGGCACCTTGGATATTGGCTCAAAAGGAGGAATAGTCACCGAGTCGAAGTCATCCTTGCACATCTTGTCTGTGTAAGCTTCATCCAATTCCTTGGAGGGAGACTCTAAGTTCAATCAATTAGCTATCCAAGCTGTAACTTCCGTATCTGAGAAGACGTAGTTGGTATGTTCATCAGATAGTTCTCGTTCTATAGACCTATGCCTTCGCAAATCCTCCTTCTGCGAACCTTCCTTTTGCGAATCTAGCTTCCGCGAACCTCTATCTCGTGATCCATCCTTTCACGAACGTCTGTCTCGTGATCCACCCCTTCGCGAACCTTGTCTCGTGATCCATCCCTTCGCAAACTTGTCTCTCGCGAACCTAGCCTTAGCGAACTTCCTTATCGCAAACCTTATCTTCGCAAACCTTCTGTTCGTGTGTGAGAGCTGCGGGACGTAGATCTGGAACAGCTGGCTCTTGGAGATGGATTCCTAGGCGTTCTCAAATCTTGAGGGTTTGCAGACGAAGTTCTCGTAGAGTTAGTAGCCTTCACAAACCTTCCATCCTGTTCCATGATGACAAAGTTGTCCGATTGTGATGAACGTACACGTTCACCAACGGCGTATCAGGTTCGCGCAGGTCTGAGGGTTTGCGAATGTTGTCGGTTGATGTAAGATTCTGTCGTGCCTTCACTTCCTCATCAAACCGTCGTTCCATCATGGCCATCATTTGGGTAGTAAATTGCCTCATAAAGTCGCCTGGATCGGAGTTCTGCGTTGACTGGAACTGATTCTGCATTGATGTGTTGTGTGCTTCAACTTCACTGCATTGAGAAGTTGGTGGTTGGTCGTCAAACAGCTCGCCCGCTGTTGTAGTTGCAGGAGACGATCTAGTAATCGTGGAGGTCGTCTGCATCGCCAATCTAGTAGGCACTTCAGGCAGAAGTAATGGTGGTTCATCAAACACGTCTGCCTCGTGCAGTAGAAAGATCTCCTCATTAAACGACCTCTGATGAGTTGACCTGCTAGGTCGTGTTGATTTTGACGCTAACCTAGTTATAAATGCCCATTTCTGCATTGTGGATAAAGCAGTAGTCTTATTCTCACTCTGAGAGGGCATCAACTCCGCCGTAGCAGACCTCTGTTTCGACCCCGTACCAGACGACGACCCCTGCAACGTACTCAACATAGCACCAAAATTATTTATTTCTGCAGTAGCAAACAACGTACGGTTACCGGCTTGATCTCCAGGTTTATCAACCATGACTTGTGATGACTTCCTCACCCTATCCATGGCACGTCTATAGATGTAAGACAAATATTGATTAAATTGCAAATTTGATAAATCACTGCAATATGTACAACGTGAGGTGGAAGAACATGGTTTAATGCACGATGGGCATTGGGGGTGAGGATCAGCCACAGATAGCTGGTGACTGCAAACAATGCAAGATTTCATGAAATGTAAACACGTTACATTATGATGAAAAAGTGTAACAAATTACGAAAATTTCTTCAAATTTTATACAACTAATGCATTATAGTTATAGTCAAATATCATACACAGCGTAATTTTGATAAATAGGATCTAATTATAAAGGATATCTGTCGTATATGGGACTCCAGTGCTCGCCCAACTATCCGCTTGGGCGAAAAGTGACAGTAAGGCTGGTCACATGACTGTTTGCGTGGGAAAGAAGGGAGGTAACTCGTGGGTGAGTGTATTTTTACATCCGCTTCGGGAACTACAAGGGATTCAAGTGTTCCACTACCATTCGCAAGGTAAAGGGAGCTAAGGAAAACATCATGAGTCAGGATAAGGAAAAATAATGGTTTTCATAAACCTTAATGTCGCCGGTGTGGAAGAATATACAGTACAACAAGAAATTATTGAAAATTTAAAGATCATAAAAAAAGATTTTTTTAACTCATTACTCACGTATAAAATGTGAATATTAGCTGAACATAACTCCAGATTTAAAGACAAGTGAACAGTTAGTATTTTGTCAAGTCACCATGGGCAGCAATGCAGGCTTCAATGTGTCGGGGCATACTACTGATCAGAGAAGTTAGAAAGTCGTGGTCCATGCTGTCCCAATATCGGACCACCCCTTCTTTCATTTCAGCAATATTTGTCAGATGTTTCTTATTGACACTTTCCTTCATAAGTCCCCAAACATTTTCTATTGGATTTAGGTCAGGTCTATAGCTTGGCCAGTCTAATAATGTCATATTTTGGGTCCGAAACCAGGCCTGTGAGTGCTTTGAACGATGTTTCATAAGTCCCCAAACATTTTCTATTGGATTTAGGTCAGGGCTTTAGCTTGGCCAATCTAATAATGTCATATTTAGCGTCTGAAACCAGGCCTGTGAGTGCTTTGAACGATGTTTTGGGTCGTTGTCCTGCTGGAAAATCCAACAATTTCCATAGAACACATGAGCAGATGGAAGTATATGTCCCTCGAGAATATCTGTGTACCGCTCACTGTTCATATTCCCTTCAAATATACAGAGGGGCGTTGCCCCTAACACAGATATGCCACCCCACACGCTAAATTTCAGACTGTACTTTGGGCGCTGATACAAATGTTTTTCAGTTTGTTTATTCCAGAATTTCAGTGTATTAGGAAACAGTCACACAGAACTTTCATCTGAGAAAATCACATTGTCCCAGTTAAAATTTCTATGCTGTAAGCACCAGTTCAACCTTCGCTCCTTTTCAGGTTTCATGATCGGTGATGGAATTTCTCGACTTTTCTGCCAACCCATTGCATGCAACTCAGTTCTAATTGTCTCCTTACAGACAGCCACAGTTCCTCTATCAATCATATCCAGCCTTAAGTTTTCTAAACTCCTTCGTTTGTTTTCTGGCATGGGTACAGTTCATGAAAACACAACTCCAGCATATTCCTTGGACCTATTGGGGTGCATGATTATCATGACATACACATGCAAAGCCAGGTTTTGGACGTATAAAGGGCATTATGGTTCAACCGTTTCACTAGCAGTCGCAAAATGCCACGGCTCAGTGAACAGCAGAGGGAACAAGCTATCCGGATGCTGTCGGTGGGAACATCACAAATCCACCATCAACAGACTCCAAAATCGTCATCAGCAAACTGGAAGCATCCATGACTGTCCCTTACCAGGACAAACTCCGGTCATGATGGCACTTCCAGGCCGGCACATCCGACGAGTTCACCAAAGAAGCCGCTTTCAGACAGCAGCAAACTCACCTCGAAACACCGTAGGATGTAAAGTACGCCACATCAGCGCCATGACAGTCATTTGACGTCTGCAGGCTGTGGCACTAAGGGGCCATATCGGGAAACGTCATTATGCAACATCATCGAGTCAACAGACTCCTTTTTGCACAGCAACATAGCCTCCAACCACCATGAATCTCCAACCAGTGGGGTTTTTTCAATGGGTCCAGGTTCTGTGTGTCATTTGCAGATGGCAGACAACGCGGCCTACAGGCAGCAACATGAACATGAGCTTGGTCGCTGGATTCATCAATGGCAACGTCAACGTCAGCCAAACAAAGTCGCTGAGTTGACAGGAGTGGCAGAACATCCCCCAAGCACCTGTTCGACATTTGTGCGAATCCATGCGATGTCGACTCCATGCATGTGTACAGGCTCAGGGAGGTCACACTCGCTACTGACGGACGTAAGGGGGGTCTGTGTGTGACGCTTGACATGTCAGTCATATTGGCGGAACTCTTGCAATCATTTTTTATGAAAATGAAGCACAATGAAATTCTCAACATAACTGTAGAACAAATTCATCCAAGTATTGTTGTTTGTTAAGTTTTCCTCATTTGAATTTGGTTTTGCGTTTTTAATGTGTGTCAGTATATATATATGCAACAATGTAAAACATTGTGAAGAGCCCACCGAAAAGTTTTATGAAGACCAGAGACCATATTATATGATCTCTGGCAAGACTAGTCTCTTTTATTATGAATATGCGCCGCTTGTTTACAAAAACAAGAGAATAGTCTGGTCAATGCGATATCCAAATTAGCCTGTGGCGGTGATGTAATGCTAAGTCATCACAGCACCGAGTGTGGATTGTGCCCTCTATGTACAAGTCCTGGCACAATGTTGCAGGTCACATACACAACTGACCTAGACAAGCAACTACCAGTCATACTGACCGACACAAACACATCCAATATAACCCAAATATGCCTGTATTAGTAGAACAGTCTTGATTACTACAACTTCTGAAAAAAGAGTAACTGGGCTCCTTTATAATATATTTATCAGAATAATTTTTTCTGTGAAATATTTCAATTTCTGAAACTAGATGTTAGTCTAACCAGAGAATTTTCCTTTGAAACCTAGTTAATCTGGAGTATCTGAGCAATTCTCATAAAAAAATTGTACATATTTGTGTTGGTTTATTGAGACACTATCAAAAGAGCCAGCTTAATGACATGAAACAGGCCAAGCAGTCTTAGCAAGCTATGTAAATCAGACACACAGTCACTTCCCCTAATCTGTTACTTGAGAGATTTTTCCAGAAATTACCCCTGCTAAATGCTCCGCGCCAACATCTGTGATTCCTGTTGCCAGCCAGGTTGAGAGACAAGAGCTTTAGGTTGAAGCCGCTTACAGTACCCAGAGCCCTGCCACGCCTCGGCAGCTTCATCAGAGACGGCGCAATGTTGGAGTGAGAGAAGCTGAACACTGAAAGGAGTGAGTCAGTGGGTGAGTTTGGCTGAATGATTGATAAACTAAATTCAGAAATATAACAGTTTATCTAATTATGTGAGAGACCTCCTACAAGTTTCAATACCAAAAGGTAATCAAGGCACAGTGATGATGAAGAGGAGGAAGAAGAGGAGATGGAGGAAGATGAGGGAGGAAGAGAAGAAGGAAAGGAGGAAGAGAGGAGGAAGAGAAGGAAAGGGGAAAGGAAGATGAGGTGGAGGAAGAAGAGGAAGCAGTGGAGGGGGAGGCAGAAGATGGGAAGGAGGAAGAAGAGGAAGCAGTGGAGGGGAGGCAGAAGAGGGGAAGGAGGAAGAAGAGGAAGCAGTGGAGGGAGGCAGAAGAGGGGAAGGAGGAAGAAGAGGAAGCAGTGGAGGGGAAGCAGAAGAGGGAAGGAGGAAGAAGAGGAAGCAGTGGAGGGGAGGCAGAAGAGGGAAGGAGGAAGGCAGAAGAAGAGGAAGCAGTGGAGGGGAACGGAGGCAGAAGAGGGAAAGAGAAACAAGAGGAAGCAGTGGAGGGGAGGCAGAAGAGGGAAAGGAGAAACAAGAGGAAGCAGTGGAGGGAGGCAGAAGAAGGGAAGGAGGAACAAGAGGAAGCAGGGAGGAGGAGGCAGAAAGACACAGGAAGGGAGGAAGAAGAGGAAGAGGCAAGTGGAGGGGAGGCAGAAGAGGGGAAGGGGAAAGGAGGAAAAGGGAGGAAAGGAGGAAGGAGGAAGAAGAAGAGAAAAAGGGAAATGAAGAAGAGAAGGAGAAAGGTGAGTGAAAGTATGGTTTTAGATGCTTTTAGCAATATTCCAGCAATATCAATGGAAGCAGAACACCAGACATGGGCTTCACACATTGTGCCCATGTGGGGATTCGAACCCCTGGTCTTAGGTGGACGAAATAACAACTAGCTTAACCAGAATAGGGAAAGAAGAAGAGGAACCGCCCAGAGGGATGAGAAATGGAAGAAAGGGAAAGCAGAAGAGGAGGGATGAAAGTGAAGGGGAAAGGGAAAAGAAGATGTGGAAATAGGTAGGATAAGGAGGAAGAAGAGAGGAAAAAGGAAGAGGGAGGAGGGATGGAAAAGGAAATGGAAAGAGGAAGGTGGAGGAGGGAAGGCAGAAAAGGAAAGAAAATGGAAAAGGAAGGAGGGAGGAGGGAAGGCAGAAAAGGAAGAAAAAGAGGAAGCAATGGAGGAGGGAGGCAGAAAAGGGAAAATGGAAAAGGAAGGAGTGGAGGAGGGAAGGCAGAAAAGGGAAAATGGAAAAGGAAGGTGAGGAAGCAGTGGAGGAGGGGAGGCAGAAAAGGAAAAAGGAAAAGAGGAAGGAGGAGGAGGGAGGAAAGAAAAAGGAAAATGGAAAGAGGAAGGTGAGGGAAGGAAGAAGTGGAAAGAGGGTAAGCAAGAAAGAGGAAGGAAAGGAGGAGGAAGGAGTGGAGGAGGAAGGCAGAAGAGGAAAAACGGGAAAAGGAAGAGTGAAATGGAAAGGAAGTGGAGAAGGGGGAGGCAGAAAAGGAAAATGGAAAGGAAGGGATGGAGGAGGAGGGCAGAAGAGGAGGAAATGGAAAAAGGAAGATGGGAAGCAACTGGAGAAGGAGGCAGAAAAAGGGAAAATGGAAAAAAGAAAGGAGGTGGAGGAGGGGGAGGAAGAAGGAAAATGGAAAAGGAAGATGAGGAAGCAGTGGAGGAGGAGGCAGAAATGGAAAATGGAAAGTGGAGGAAGAAGAGGAGGGAGAAGGAAGAAGAGAAAAACGAAACAAGGAAGAATTGAGGGAAGCAGTGGAGGGAGGGAGGAAGGAGGAAAATGGAAAAAGGAAGGAGTGGAGGAGGGAGGGCAGAAGGAAAGAATGGAAATGGAAGATGAGGGGAAGCCAGTGGAGAAGGAGGCAGAAGGGAGAAAATGGAAAAGAGGAAGGAGTGGAGGAGGAAGGAAGAGGGAAAATGGAAAAGGAAGATGAGGGAAGACGGAAAAGGAGGGAGGCAGAAAGAGAAAATGGAAAGGAAGGAGTGGAGGAGGGGAGGAAAGAAGAAGAGGGACAATGGGCGAAGAAAAGAGGAAGCAGTGGAGGAGGGAAGCAGAAGGGAAAATGGAAAAGGAAGGAGAGGAAGGGGAGGAAGAAGGGACAATGGGCAAGGAAAATGAAAGAGAAAGCAGTGGAGGAGGGACAGAAGAGGAAAATGGAAAAGGAGGAAGATGGAAACAGGAAAAGGAGGCAGAAGAAAAATGGAAGGAGGAAGTTGAGGGGAGGGAAGAAGAAAAGAGGAAAAGGAAGAAGAGGAGGAAGAGGGAGGACAAAGAGAAAGAAGAGGAGAGGAGGAACAAGGAGAGTTCCTCTACCTGCTGCACCTCTAATGCACACACTGTCACCTGCCTGTCATCATCCACCAACAGATGCCAGTTCTCTTCACCTTCTCCCAGCACAGACCATCCCAGGACCAGGTTCCTGTAACAGACAATTTCATCTACAGTCCCACATCCATCATATCCAGCACTGACAGGATCATTATCACATGTAGGTCTTGCATTGTCTGTGGTTGTTTCACGTCAAAGTAAGCAGTATTCTGTATGTAGCTGTGTGTAGCACTGGGCATGTAAATATCCAGGACAGACAAACCAGCAGTGGACATAATTAGCAGGATCCCATCTAGGTACGACTGCACCGAGTCCACCTTGCTGCTTATCACAGTCAGGGCTGATAATTAGAACAGTGCCATAAAAAATGTTTTGGATGATGAAACTGCAGTAGCGTTACTTCCCTTTCACTTGTCTGAGAGAGACAAACAGACATTGATGTCAAGCTATGACGGACGATTCTATTGTTTACATGTCACAGTATTGTTGTTGACATAATATTATTAGTTTTGAACGAAAATAAAATTACTTCTATTGACTAAGCCGACATGGTTTGGCTTTTGTAGAAGCTTCTTTCTTTTGGTAATTACATAATAAACCAATATGGACTGGTGAATTCAGTCAGTACCTGTATTGAAACTTCATCATGGAGTCATAATTGTACAATATGGCATTTACAGGAACGGATTAATAAAAGAAAATCAGAGAACAAATTAACTAAAATCCATGTGGATATGTTGCACTAAATAATTGGCGCTCGGGTCGGAGACATCACTTGATAATCTCCAGGGTATACGCTCCGATAAATCTCCACTATACCCTGGATGCGTCAGGCTCAAACCAATGATTTTATTACCTCCCTTGGTTGGCTTTTCATCCAATCAGGTGTCAAGCTGGCGTTCCAATCACAACTCACTGTAAGCTTTTCAAATTATCTAACGATTAAACTTGTGCAACACAATAATATATTGTTGCAGAGGTACTCTGAAAAGAGGTAGAAGTTCTTGCATATATTTTTTTTAAGATTTTCAGACCTGTCAATTTTTCTGTATGTTTCCCCAATTCTGAGTCGCGACTGCATAACAAACTTTCAGCGCGAAGCTATCTTGTTGAAACTGGCATTGGCTCAAGAAACTGAATGGCAAGGGAGGTAATAAATCATCAGCTCGAGCCATTGCATCCAGGGTATAGTGGAGACATTTATCGAATCTATACCCTGGAGATTATCGAGGATGGCATTGTGGAGATTGAACCATCAGATTAATGAATCAACAATTGACATGTTAATATAGTAAAACAAGATTGGTAACAGCTTGAGTCTAACGCTGCCTGACTGCAGTTAGTTACCTTAACCTATAGCATGCTTGTGTAGTGTTTCCAAATTACCCAGGGCTGGGTAACCATGTTGTTCGAAAGTTCTGATCGTCATTACCGAGGCCCAGGTTCTGATTCCCCACATGGTTACAATGTGTGAAGCCCATTTCAGGTGTTCCCTGCTGTGATATTACTGTAATATTGCTAAAGGCGGCATAAAACTAAACTCACTCACTCTAAGTAGCCACTTCAACACATAGCGGTGTGTTGTTCCAAGTCCCCGGATCAGTTAATAAGAATCCACAGCCCACTTATCAACATGTACACCTACATAGCGGTGTGGACACACGAACACGCATGCATACACCTAGAATGCGGTATAGTAACGCAGTATCATCATTGGACAAAACACTGTGACTATGTGTCCCAGTTCACCCAACTGCAAATGGGTACCTCGTGAGGATGAGGCTGTGTGATAACTGCCATCGCCTAAAAGGCTGCATGAGCTGAATACTCCCAGGGAGTTGAGCTGGTTAAAAGAATGCCAGAAAAAAAGACATCTGTTGATTAAGGGAACACTCAAGCACCTTGAGCACGTACTAGTTGTGTGGATATGTGCACTAAATAAATATCCTATCAAATATAACAATGTGAAAAATGATTTGGGGCCCACATGTACAGGATCATTTTGTTTATCTCACACTGATTTTAAATAAAACTGTTGTACCTCATGTTGTCTAAATAGATAGGTATGACTGTACATACTTAAGTTGCAAATCAAAACAAAACCATTTCAAGTGGAAATACACCTGGGACATGTGTCTAAGAAAGCAGACAAACCAGCGATCAATATAATGAGCAACACACCATGAAATCAGGATACAGTAACACACCATGAAACAATGTACAACATCTATGGTTGCTAGGCAAGAACTGTGCCACCCTGGAACCCTCACAGAGGTGAAACCTGGAAGGAAACAACTTACTTCAGATTCATGCAGAGCGGCATGAAGGACGCCAAGATGGCCACAGTCTCCCCGGTCAGTCCCACCTGCCACAAACTGGGAACAGAAACATATACAGGACACTCACACAAACAAATAATCTCCCTATAAAGAGTTTAACAAATAATCTCCCCATAAAGAGTTTAACAAATAATCTCCCCATATAGAGTTTAACAAAAAATCTCCCCATAAAGAGTTTAACAAATAATGAGTAGAACATACGAGCAAAATACCGTCTTAATAGTGTTCAACAGTCTTAATAGTGTTCAACAGTCTTCAATAGTGTTCAACAGTCTTAATAGTGTTAAACAGTCTTAACAGTGTTCAACAGTCTTAACAGTGTTCAACAGTCTTAACAGTGTTCAACGGTCTTCAATAGTGTTCAACAGTCTTCAATAGTGTTCAACAGTCTTAACAGTGTTCAACTGTCTTACAAGTGTTCAACGGTCTTAATAGTGTTCAACAGTCTTAACAGTGTTCAACAGTCTTGACAGTGTTCAACAGTCTTAACAGTGTTCAACAGTCTTAGTAGTGTTCAACAGTCTTAACAGTGTTCAACAGTCTTGACAGTGTTCAACAGTCTTAACAGTGTTCAACAGTCTTCAATAGTGTTCAACGATCTTAACAGTGTTCAACAGTCTTAACAGTGTTCAACAGTCTTCAATAGTGTTCAACAGTCTTAACAGTGTTCAACGGTCTTCAATAGTGTTCAACGATCTTAATAGTGTTCAACAGTCTTCAATAGTGTTCAACGATCTTAATAGTGTTCAACGATCTTAACCCCCTGGCTGCCGAGTTTTTTTTCAGGCGCACATTTTCATACGCTTTGAAAAGTGAACGTTGTGCGAGAATTGCTCTCGCGTGGTCCTCGATCTACGTAAGGCTATAAAATTACACAGAAATGTAGAATATCAAATTTCCTATCCGTTGGTAAAAATATAAGTGCAACTACCTTGGCGGTTTGAGAAATAGACCTTGCTAAATGTTGTCCAAATTTTTGTTATGTTAAAAGCAGTAAATTTCTCGCTTTTTATCGCGACCGATAAAAGCACTGTGCTACTTAATTTTTAATGGGACATCTTTACGGAAAGTGTGGAGCTTAAGAAAATACAGCCTGATATCTGAACGACATAAGTGTATATGAATTGGGTTTATGTGCTTGTGCATAACGCTATACTCAACATTAAAAATGACTCAAGCAATAAATGTCAAAATGTATTTTCTTCTATGACGCCAAACTACTTTACAGAGAGGTCATACACGATAATGATAAGGGGGATAACTCCGCTATATGCAGTAACACTAGGTCAATGTAACTCAGATCACTTGGAGAGAATTTGTTGTGGATACGGGACGCTTCATATTTTCGTTATTTTATATTCATGGTGAACCACACTATTCCAATTCAAAGTTCCCCAATGTGAACGGATGCACTTTGGTAGTTTCACAATTTATAAGAAAAGATGACAACGTATCATATGTGAAAGCACGTAATAGCCGATTTGAATGGCCCTATCCGATATATAAGTTAGTTCTTAGATTCCCATATTCTCCGCTTGTGTAGATGTAATTTGACTAATTTTGCATCGTTATTACCAGAGTACTAGTCATATCTTCAAATGTAACGAAAATTGCTGAAAATAATACAACATTTTAGTTGACGCCATCGCTTGTTTTATGCATTTATGCATCGCCAGAAAAAGACGACATTGGTATGCTGATTAGTATATATCTCACTTAATTTCCATTAATTGTATCAAAGGTCTGACTTCTATGTCAGAATTTTACACTCTTTAGACAAAACATAAAATGACTGATTTTTCCATTTAAATAGTGTCCTGAATATATCAACAATTAGACGGTTTGACAGCGATCTTATTGTGAAAACCACGCCAAGACCTGTTTGGCATCAATTTAACGTAAATAAAAATAATATTTCCCAACACCCTAATATTTTGTTTGGGATAAGAATTTTGTTTGTTTATGATTATGAAGCTATTTCTCTTCATACGCATGCAATGAAAGATGCTTAAGGATAGCTTTTATATATGGAACTATATATTAAAATATGGATATAAGATTTGTCCTAATTAACACATGAGATGGTATATATATTTTTCTACAATTTTCCTATAAGTAGTTAGAGTTTGATATCCTGTCATCACAATATTATTTAATCAAATATGAATTGAATATATTATCGAAAAGCAATGATAGAGAATCATAAAACGCTTTCCCACAAACGACACCTTGCCGATCTATATGCAACATTCTTTTGTCTATAAACGACACAAAATTATGCAATGAACAAGACAATTCCTTTAAATATGTGTGCATATACATTTCATACCATATATAAACCACTGTCATTAATATTATCAGTTTTGCATATAAGGTTGAATTATATCACCGTTTCATTAACCTGTTCATATGAAATTGCAATATTAGTCCAAATAAATTGAATATTGTACATCATAGGAACCAAAGTAGATGCAGTTATGGCTACGCTTGATCTTCTAACACTTGTGTAAAGGTTTAGAATATGGTGCAATAAATATGTCAATTTTTATGTAAATATGATTCAAACAATCAAAAACTTTCAAAGAATAAAACACCGTGAAACCCCATATGCACGTATGATATGATATTGAACAAGGCTAAATGTAGATACTGAAGTCAGTTTCATGAAAAAGCATCCTAACCATCCATCCAAAATATACATCATAATACTGACAGTGTAATCGAAGGATATGGCGTTGTGTTTACTCTTGTTCGACCGACCTTCACCTCAAAGAAATTGCCTAATATGTAGAACAATGTTGACGATGACATCACTACCGCTGACCGATTTCTTACAAAATGGCGGCTTTGCTGACAAGGGTGCACAGGATTTTGCGAGGACCCTTCCACTGATTCAGGGATCGCTTGTACATACATATGAGATGTAAGTAATCAGAATGATTCTGACTATCTGTGTATGGTTATATGTTTTTAATCGCTTTCACTATAATGCGAAGAGAAAAGGACAGAAATGCAGATAATTACCGCTTGTCGCTCTGCGTGATTTGGCGTCAGTCATGGCCACGCTGCACGGAAACTTTGACAATTTCTTATGAATTATCAAATCATTGCATTGTATCTATTTATAATTTCCTATTTCTTGCCACGATACTCTTTCCATGTATATTCTAAAGGTATCGAGCCATTGCAAGCAATGAATAGACGGATGAAAGTTGAAAAATTTCAGAAAAATGCTACGCAGTGTAAAATCGAATTTGTCTTTGTTTACATTTCACACAAACGCAGTCTTTTCAAGCACAGCCGCTCGTTTTCACACCCAATATGTTTCGCCTCATTTTATCTAGACAGTTATTATTGGTGACACAGACCAGTTTCAAATTGATTCTAAAATGTATGGGGAATTCAGTGATGCATTTTTCAAGCTGAATATGAAATATAATGCATTGATGTAATAGGTGTCTCAATACCGGCCTTCATCAAACGCGGATTTTGTAAACACTATCCAATATGGAAAGCTTCACGGTGTTCGTAAGTGCATTTTCGAAAACATCCCAACCGATTCTAGATTCATCGGCAACGCTTCAGAATTATAATTAGCGATTTCATGTAAACTGATATCAGTGATCATGAATAGGTTATTTTTAAATTCAATACTCCCAGGAATTATCCGATTTTCACATTTCAAAACATACAGCAAATAACGCTGTGAATCGCAATTTCGTACTGTGTCAAAAATGTCGCCATTTTCGATGAAGCCCATTTTAAAAGGTCATTTTCAGCACTTTAGCTTTGTCTAAAATAATACTGGATGGTATCAAGAAACAGGAAATTACCCGCAGAATTCGAAACTGTGAAGTGTATTTGTGTACGTGGGATATTTTGATTTTTATTCGACTTCAAATTGAGGGTTGAAGGGGAAGGACATATATGTCCCTGTGGCATCCAGGGGGTTAACAGTGTTCAACAGTCTTAACATTTTTCAACAGTCATAACAGTGTTCAACAGTCTTGACAGTGTTCAACAGTCTTAACAGTGTTCAACAGTCTTAACAGTGTTCAACGGTCTTAATAGTGTTCAACAGTCTTAACAGTGTTCAACAGTCTTACAAGTGTTCAACGGTCTTGACAGTGTTCAACAGTCTTAACAGTGTTCAACAGTCTTAACAGTGTTCAACAGTCTTAGTAGTGTTCAACAGTCTTAACAGTGTTCAACAGTCTTGACAGTGTTCAACAGTCTTAACAGTGTTCAACAGTCTTGACAGTGTTCAACAGTAAGCCTGGAAGAGCTATAATGCTGATATGAAAGACATAAGATAACATTTCCAAGATTCATATACCAACACAGAATCAATGGAATTACTTTCAAACCAGCTGGCTTACTTTGTACATAAAGTTTAGGGGGGACATGCTTCTCCACAAAAATTACAATCACAGCCCCCCTTAGCCATAAATTATGAATGGTCCTTTAGTCTCCAGCTCCATGGTGACAGCTATTTGACAACACATTTTCCAATTTCAGTAAAATGTTTAAATAACCGACTCACTTGATTGTATGTAGCCTCTCCATGGCCGGCCAGCACTGTTTGAATATGTTCATCATACACTCGTCAACCTTCCAACCTGGAAACAGAAACCATGGGTTACTTCCCTTGTCCCATGCAGCCTCCTTCATGTATATATACTCCTTCAGCCTCCGGATGTATATTTCAGTGAGTGTCCACATATACCCACCACGGATGTATATTTCAGTGACAGTGTCCACATATACCAAACCACGGATGTATATTTCAGTGAGTGTCCACATATACCCCCCCCATGGATGTATATTTCAGTGACAGTGTCCACATATACCCACCATGGATGTATATTTCAGTGACAGTGTCCACATATACCCACCATGGATGTATATTTCAGTGACAGTGTCCACATATACCCACCACAGATGTATAATTCAGTGACAGTGTCCACATATACCCACCACAGATGTATATTTCAGTGACAGTTTTCACATATACCCACCACAGATGTATATTTCAATGAAAGTGTTCACATATACCCACCACAGATGTATATTTCAGTGACAGTGTTCACATATACCCACCAGATGTATATTTCAGTGACAGTGTTCACATATACCCACCACAGATGTATATTTCAGTGACAGTGTCCACATATACCCTCCACAGATGTATATTTCAGTGAGTGTCCACATATACCCACCACGGATGTATATTTCAGTGACAGTGTCCACATATACCCACCATGGATGTATATTTCAGTGACAGTGTCCACATATACCCACCACGGATGTATATTTCAGTGACAGTGTTCACATATTACCCACCACAGATGTATATTTCAGTGAGTGTCCACATATACCCACCACAGATGTATATTTCAGTGACAGTGTCCACATATACCTGCCATGGATGTATATTTCAGTGACAGTGTCCACATATACCCACCACGGATGTATATTTCAGTGACAGTGTTCACATATACCCACCACAGATGTATATTTCAGTGAGTGTCCACATATACCCACCACAGATGTATATTTCAGTGAGTGTCCATATATACCCACCACAGATGTATATTTCAGTGACAGTGTCCACATATACTCACCACAAATGTATATTTCAGTGACAGTGTCCACATACCCACCACGAATGTATATTTCAGTGACAGTGTCCACATATACCCACCACAGATGTATATTTCAGTGACAGTGTTCACATATACCCACCACAGATGTATATTTCAATGACAGTGTTCACATATACCCACCACAGATGTATATTTCAGTGACAGTGTTCACACATACCCACCACAGATGTATATTTCAGTGACAGTGTCCACATATACCCACCACAGATGTATATTTCAGTGACAGTGTCCACATATACCCACCACAGATGTATATTTCAGTGACAGTGTTCACATATACCCACCACGAATGTATATTTCAGTGACAGTGTCCAGCTTGTCAGGGTTGTCCATCTCCACCTGTATCGATGGCTTGAAGTGGCTACTCAAACTTGTCCTTCACAGTTAATGCGTCTTGGGAGGAGGCTCCACTGGCTCTGGTAGCAGGCAATCAGAATTCAGTGACAGTTACACAACCTTTTTTGTTTGTTGTTTTGTACTGCACTTAGCAATATTCCACTCATATCAGAGAGGTCTGTAAATATTCGAGTCTGGACCTGACAATCCAGTGATTGGCATCATGAGCAACAATCCATGCAATTAGGACAAGATGACATGTGTCAACTAAGTCAGTCTGACCACTACATGTATTTAATCGCCTCTTATGACAAGCTGCTGCGGAACAACATCACTACACAGCATCCCTCCAGGTCTAGTAAAACATGGCTTTAATATGCTGTTAAATGAATGTTAATAATGTTAACTGAAATGTCATTGTCAGTTGAAATGATGTTGGTTTTATCAACTGGTTTCAATTGGAATTTTTGAAAATGAAAATGAATTAATTGATCATTAAGGCTGATGCCAAAAATTAATAGGAACAAGCTTCTTGTATGATTCAATACATAAAGGCATGATACATGGTTCAAACGGAGAAGACCTCATATTCAATTCAACAGATGTAAACCTCAAGGACACCCTTAGTTTTGAACGCTGTGTACTTAATAACACATCATATTCATCCCGTATTTGAGGACTGGTAGTTTAAAGGTATAAAAAAGGAAAAAGCAACAACACAATATGATTATAAATATATGAAATAAGATTTAAATAAGACTTTATAAAATAATTAAATGACTAAGCATACACAATCAAAAACCACACTAAAAGAAGGAAAAAAAGTAATGATTGAAAATAATTGAAAACAGCCCCTTGGACAAGCGATGCGATCTGCATCCCTGATGGTCCTCAAAGAAACAGATAAAGAAAGTAATAGAAGTGGATTTTCTCTTTAATACTAGAAATAAGCAGATGAGAAGAAATGAAAAGAAACAAAATAAACGTTTACCACCATCCTCGTCTAACAAAGGTTCCGGGTCTGGTTCCGGGGCACTGACTTGTTTGTTTTTATCCCTTCCCTTCTCTGGTTTACCTTCCGCAACCTGACTGGGAGATGGCGCCGTCGGCCGAGGGCGTGGAACTATCTGTGGGACAAATGTCATGTCTTGCCTATGACACAACTCAGCAAAGTCGGACTGGAACAGCCCGGAGCAGTTGTATGGCTCTGAAACAAACATGAGTCCAATACTTTGTGATCCTGTTGCAGCCAAGATTGAAAAAATTAACTTGAGGACCAAACCTGTCACTAAGAGATTTCCTCCCCTCCTCCATTGTCACATGGGTAGACAATGGGAATGTTTTCATATATAGTATCCATAAGGAGAATTGAATCCAGGATGCAACGATTAGGCTATTTTTACTGCAAGCTGGACATAATACATCAGTAATAATGGATATGAATAACCTCTGATATATTATACCAAACACAAATTGGATTTGGTCCTGTTGTGAAGAGGCAATCAATGTTCTGCTTCTGTCTCAGAGATGCTTAAAACTATAAGGACATGATTCGTCAAGCTCCAGGTCTGAAATCTAATTAAAGTTATCCATCAAGTTGCTAACCTGTCGAACAGTATTCAGTCAAAATTATCAAATTACAATAAAGATATCTTGAAACTACTTATATTATCTTAAATTGATAAATATAAAACAATTAAAAAAACATATCAATATAACCAGTAAACAAAAAAGCACCTGTTTACTAATTTTGACCAACATAACAGCAAAAGGAAATTATCTTCAAATTTCTAATATAGAAAAGGAGGTGATTCTCAGGTCCACTTCTGAATTCTGATTAAAGACAATGATCAAGTTGTTAATATGTCCAACTTTCTTCTCCATATAAGGATATTATGTACCTCTTTCTACAAAACCTTCATTGTTATCTTGATGTCAAGGAGAGCATCTCAAAATAAATTCAGGTTTTCCATAATACTGAACATGTGGAGTGTCAGTGTTAAGCAAAGGTAATGATACTATTGATAGCATGATCGGTTTGAGAAGCTATGCTTAGCCCTAAATAAGAATACTAAAATTATAACTTTCTGTCTGTCTGACCTATGTCAGTCACCAATTCTAAATCCTAATTACAGAGACAAAAGGTATTGCTATTATTACAAACCTGGGGTTTTGTTGGAATCCTCGTCTTGGGCATCTTGACTTGATGATGACTGGTTCTTGTCTTTGCCTAAAGTCTTGTCACCCTTGCGACCCATTTTGATTCTTGCTGCGATGCTGAAATAATAAAAATCATGATAATAGTGGAATGAATCATTCTAACTCAATATAACAGTCTGTTTGACACAAAGTAAGGCGAAACCTGACACTTGCATAATAGTCACAAATTCCAAATCATCATGGTTACGTGTTTTGTGCCTTATCAGAATTTTGAAAACACTAGACACTAGACAACATGGGGTATTTTGATAACTTTTGATACTATGCAGCATACACCTGGCGACTGGTGGTGACATGTTGGCTATATCTGTTCGTCAATTGCCGTCGTTAATAACAGATCTGATTTCATGAAATGTAATGCCGAAATTCGAAAGGATGATGACATGATTAACTGCAATTTCTCAACAGATGGCCAACACTGTCTAGCCTGACATACACGAGAATATTATGCCGTCATCTGTCGAAAATATCATATGCATACAAACAAACATGACACACATAATATGAGGAAACAGTACTTCGTTCACTGCTTTCCTCCTCTTTCCATCTGCAACCATTTGTAAACAATCGTTCACCGAATTGCATTTACCGGAAGTAAGCGGAGTAGAAATAGTTCATCTATAATAGTCCAGTGCTCCGCTTTTGGACTTGTACCAGAGACATCCATATCGTTCCAAAGATCAAAACAATGTACGATCATCCTTGAAGATAAACTGACATGTTAGAGAGCCATCTCAAAATAGAGATATTATTACTACGCCAAGTGATTAGCGAGCCTAGCAACTGAATAAGAGTGGTCTCCCTTGGCACACATTTCAAACACGGGCGCAGTCTTTTCTGTGCCACTTTTGGTTCGCGTTTTTTATATCTTAAACACAAAAGGAATCAGTGTGTGAATAAGAAAATGACTGAATAAATTAAAAGATTAACAGACACGTAAAATTAATGACGTATATGTAACAAGTGAAGGCTGCAACACAAGACCTTTTCAAGTCTGCCAGGTCCATAGCTGGGGATGCTATTGATATTGTTATGATATTTCTTTAGTGTTATATACATCAATGAAAAATGGAGAAAAAAAAAATTTGTAAACTTTTGTTTTTTTCGGCCCATATAACTAAGAATAAGGCCCTTGTGACATTTTGTCACGGCCCGCTTGACTTTCACTACGGCCCATTTGACTTTTTCATCAGCCTATACTTGGCACTTCTCAGCCCTTTTGCCCAATTGACTAGATCCCATGTAACAATGTAAAAATGATTTAGTTCCGAGTAGTAAATGTTCCGGTTCGGAATAAATGCCGTGAAATAGAGAATGGATGACACGAATAAAAAATCCGCACATACGGCAAATATTCCATCGAACAGGTACAAATACAATAGGCCTAATCTATTCCAGTCATTATTGAATGCAAAATGGATTAATCCAACTTGTCCACATCCGGGATGTCTACTAACTTCAACTTGGTTACATACTGACTGTAACCTGGCTACAGACTGAATGTAACTTAACATGTTGACTGTAATTTGATTACTAACTTAACTTGGTTACATGTTGACTGTAACCTGGATACTGACTGGCTGTAATTAACTTGGTTACATCAGAGACCATATGGTCTCTGGTTACATGTTGACTGTAACATGGATACTGACTGACTGTAATTAAATTGGTAACATGTTGACTGTAATATGGATACTAACTGTAACTTATTTACATGTTCACTAACCTGGCTACTGACTAACTGTAACTTGATTACATATTGACTGTAACTTGGCTACTGACTGTAACTTGCTTACATATTGACTGTAATCTGGATACTGACTGACTGTAACTTGGTTACATGTTTATTAACCTGGATACTGACTGTAACTTAAATTGGTTACATATTGACTCTAATCTGGCTACTGACTGTAACTTTGTTACATATTGACTGTAACCTGGCTACTAACTGTCACTTTGTGACATATTGACTGTAACCTGGCTACTGACTGACTGTAACTTAGTTGCATATTGACTGTAACCTGGCTACTGACTGTAACTTGCTTACATATTCTCTGTAATCTGGCTACTGACTGTAACTTTGTTACATATTGACTGTAACCTGGCTACTGACTGTAACTTGGTTACATATGGACTGTAATCTAGCTACTGACTGTACTTTTGTTACATATTGACTGTAATCTGGCTACTGACTAACTTTATTACATATTGACTGTAATCTGGCTACTGACTGTAACTTTGTTACATATCGACTGTAATCTCGCTACTAACTGTAACTTGGTTACATATTAACTGTAACCTTGCTACTGACTGTACCTTGGTTACATATTGACTGTAACCTGGCTACTGACTAACTGTAACTTGGTTGCATATTGACTGTAACCTGGCTACTGACTGACTGTAACTTGAAATTGCATATTGACTGTAATCTGGCTACTGACTGTACCTTGGTTACATATTGACTGTAATCTGGTTACTGACTGTATTCTGGTTACATATTGACTGTAACCTGGCTACTGACTGACTATAACTTGGTTGCATATTGACTGTAACCTGGCTACTGACTGTACCCTGGTTGCATATTGACTGTAACCTGGCTACTGACTGTAACTTGGTTGCATATTGACTGTAACCTGGCTACTGACTGTACTCTGGTTACATATTGACTGTAACCTGGCTACTGACTGACTGTAACTTGGTTGCATATTGACTGTAACCTGGCTACTGACTGTAACTTGGTTACATATTGACTGTAACCTGGCTACTGACTGTAACTTGGTTGCATATTGACTGTAATCTGGCTACTGACTGTAACTTGGTTGCATATTGACTGTAACCTGGTTACTGACTGTAACTTGATTACATATTGACTGTAACCTGGCTACTGACTGTAACTTGGTTGCATACTGACTGTAATCTGATAAATGAAGGTAACTTGGTTACATATTGGCTGTAACCTGGCTACTGACTGTAACTTGGTTGCATATTGACTGTAATCTGATAAATGAAGGTAACTTGGTTACATATTGGCTGTAATCTGGCTACTGACTGTAACTTGGTTACATATTGACACTCATCTGATAAATGAAGGTAACTTGGTCACATATTGGCTGTAATCTGGCTACTGACTGACTGTCACATGGTTACATATTGACTGTAATCTGATAAATGAGGTAACTTGGTTACATATTGGCTGTAACCTGGCTACTGACTGACTATAACTTGGTTGCATATTGACTGTAACCTGGCTACTGACTGTACCCTGGTTGCATATTGACTGTAACCTGGCTACTGACTGTAACTTGGTTGCATATTGACTGTAACCTGGCTACTGACTGTACTCTGGTTACATATTGACTGTAACCTGGCTACTGACTGACTGTAACTTGGTTGCATATTGACTGTAACCTGGCTACTGACTGTAACTTGGTTGCATATTGACTGTAACCTGGCTACTGACTGTAACTTGGTTGCATATTGACTGTAATCTGGCTACTGACTGTAACTTGGTTGCATATTGACTGTAACCTGGTTACTGACTGTAACTTGATTACATATTGACTGTAACCTGGCTACTGACTGTAACTTGGTTGCATACTGACTGTAATCTGATAAATGAAGGTAACTTGGTTACATATTGGCTGTAACCTGGCTACTGACTGTAACTTGGTTGCATATTGACTGTAATCTGATAAATGAAGGTAACTTGGTTACATATTGGCTGTAATCTGGCTACTGACTGTAACTTGGTTACATATTGACACTCATCTGATAAATGAAGGTAACTTGGTCACATATTGGCTGTAATCTGGCTACTGACTGACTGTCACATGGTTACATATTGACTGTAATCTGATAAATGAGGTAACTTGGTTACATATTGGCTGTAATCTGGCTACTGACTGACTGTAACACGGTTACATATTGTCTGTAACCTGATTAATGTAGGTAACTTGGTTACATAATGACTGTGAACTCTTTTTAACACAAGATTCATTTAGAATCAGCAGTTCGCATTCTGGGGAATCTATTTTCATAAAAAATGTAAAGAACTTTCACACATGATAATTGCTCCTTGATAGCCACATGATTTGTTCCATATGGAACAAATACTGTAGGAAAAATCCTTTTTTATTTTCTGTTCCCCACGCGCCCCAATTTTTAGACCACCCCAACAAACAAAACCTTCTTTTAGACACTTTAGGGTGTGTGTGAAAGTTCCTATTTACCCGGAATAAATTCTCTGTACACGGAACGAAATAATTGTTCCGCATGCACTATTACAGAAACAAATATTGGAATGAAAAGTTCCAACGGAACCTTTACTATGGGGGAACCAAATCTTTTTTTACAACAATACACAATTCGTCGCTTTGATATGTTTCCTGATGAAAATATTATGTTCATAACTGACGCTCCAAGGATGTTACTGTGTATCTAGCTCGTTGAAAAATGTGAATTTGCAAAAGAATAATTCTGCTTTGCTTTCATCTAATAAAGTATAATTAGTCCCAAACAAAGCACCCATTTACCAAACATACCCAGAGTATAGTCCGACACTAACACATAGTTCCATACAAATATAAAGTCTTCGAATACGCCGCTTCGAGCAATATCCCAGCAACATCACGGCGGGGGACACCAGAAATGGGCTATTCGAACGTCCCAAATTCGAATACATAGTCCCACACCACCTAAAACGCATTGTTCCACACAACAAATATAAAGTCCGACACAACGAATAAATCGTTCCACACAACAAATGTAAGGTCCGACACTACAAAAAAATCGTTCCACACAACAAATATAAAGTCCGACACTACGAATAAATCGTTACACACAAAAAATATAAGGTCCGACACTACGAATAAATCGTTCCACACAACAAATATTAGGTCCGACACTACAAAAAAATCGTTCCACACAACAAATATAAAGTCCGACACTACAAATAAATCGTTCACACAACAAATATAAAGTCCGGCACTACAAATAAATCGTTCCACACAACAAATATAAAGTCCGACACTACGAACAAATCGTTCCACACAACAAAT